TTATTATTTTTTTAATGTGAGTGGTGTACTCAACATGTTCGAACTCGCCTTGCTTAGCCTGCGACTGGCGTCTCTGATTACATGCAATGCCAAGAGGTTCTCAAAATAGACGAATTGAGTCGAGTCGAACTCGTATTGGTGTGCCTTTTGCAAAATTTCGGTGATGCTTGTCTGATAATTAGAAATCGAACAATGAAGTTGTCCTTTGAGGCTTATGCAAATATGTTGTAAAATTGTAATGAGTAGCTGACCATCACTACGTTTAAGTATTCTTATGCATCAGTGACTCCTTTACGGTCCTCACCCAGCTCGAGCGAGATCACAATTCAGGTTGGACATGTCAGGTCATCATTCAAGATCAAATTCAACTTGATCCTATCACCTATTGACTAAAACCATCTTCAATAGCACATTGTCCATATCATGGAAAAATGAAATTGGAAAATTTAATTTTCAATCGTCAATGTTAATTGTGGTATAATTTAACATGTGAAAGATTGAAATTAGTTGGAGAAGAGGGAGAAGTTGAATACATAATATAATTTGTGAGGCCTCTACTTATCTTTGGAGGAGTATTGAAATTTTACAAGTAATTTCGAACTTTTTCGAAAACATTTTTAACTTTTAAAACCTTTTTAGGGCACCTTACCTTTTTGCTTTTAAAACTTCACTTATGTCTTGCACTAAGTTTTAATGGGAACTCTCTTCTCAAAACCTTTTAAAACTTCACTTATGTCTTGCACTTAGTTCTAATGAGGAAATCGACTAGTTCAGAGTGGAGACATACTGCATGATTATTCGCCATAATAACAGATGTCATTCGCCATAATAACAGATATCATACTATTAGCATGAACATGAATAAACTGGTCTCAATTGTTGCTCTACTCGGCGGTTTAAGGAGATGCTGCTCCACCGCACACTGAGTCTATCTCAAGTATACACAATTTTATCGACGGTGGGATGTTGCCAACTACTCGCACTGGGAGATCTAACAGAAAACTGATGTTCGGCTCAGGCAATGGTTCGATAAGGCAAAAATACTCACACATATATTTCAACCAATATCATGCGATTATAGAGAACTAAAACATAATACAAAATTCCCACCTTAAGCGGATTATGATGTATGAATTCTCGGATTCTTCTTGAGGACTCGACCCCACTTAATCTACAAGTTTAAGAAGTTAATTAATAAGATATTTTACTTAGAGAATTATCGAGATAGATTTCTTGATTTAATTGCTTATTAAAATCACTTAATTAATTATTAAAATAGATTCTTAGTTTAATTTATTAACATCCCTTATTGCTTCTCCTTACTTTCTAAGCTCGACTAGACTTCTCAGATCAATTTATCCTAAGGCTTGAAAAAATTGATCTACTGCAGGGGTCGGGACTGGACTGCTCTCTGCTCGGTCCGACCTGACTCGACTGCTGCTGGCAAGTCTGCTGGTCTGGACTAGGCACCGACTGCTAGGTGCTGCCACTGAGAGACCTAGGTTTGCTGGGCACTGCTGGCTACTGGGAAGCGCTAGGGCAGACTCGGTTCAGCTGCTGGGAGGACATTGGCACGCTTAAGTTAAATTATGTTATATAGAAATAATTTGGCCATAGGTAAATTTAATTAGATAAATTAATTAGAGTAACAAAAATTAGCAAATTATAGATGATGCCATATATTATTTACTTTTGGTTAAGTAATTTTTCATAATTTCGGATTAAATTTCCAGATAAAAAAAAAAAAAAAATTAATCGTGCTTAAATGAATGCAAAACGTGATATGTTTTTAGTAAAGAAACGGACCGGAGTGCTACATAATAGAAGTTGTTTAGAAGCACTTCTACATCTAGATAGACTTCTAAAGATTTCAATGCCACGTAGAACTTTTTTTTTGTGTCATGTTGCAATAAATCAAATCAATCTATATACCATCAGAGATGCTCTAACACGTCTTCTATTAACCTGATGTTCTTAACTGAATATGAATACGTACGGTTTCCAGCCTCATACTGACCTTTGCGACATAACCAGCTCCTTTTGAGACTGGCGAGTCGTATCGCCTTGTCATATTAATTCTATTTGAATCTTAAATACAATGACTGAAAAGTAGGAAACGAACAAGATCAACAATGGCTGGCAAAGTACGAAACGAACAAGAACAATAATGGCTGCCATGACAAATTAACAGAGTTGATTTCATGCCATTGATTCTATGATAACAGCTTTGCGTTGTCCGCGTTCTTTTATTTATACACAAGAAGGCAAGAACAAAAAGGAACTGAACAGTTTTCTGATTTTCGACCAAAACACTTAAAAAAAATATAAAAACTCTAGTATTATTGATTGAAATTCGCTTATTTTGACATATATCTCTAATATAGTGCACTTGATGGCTTAATAATAGCATATTCCATGTCTGTCAAAAATACCTTAATCACAACATATTCCTTTCTGCCTCCGTACCCTTATACGGATGGACCAAATGAGATACTCATTGTTCAGACCTACCTATCGGTGCCTCTACTTCTTCGTGATGCTGACTCTTCGCCTGGGCTCTTTGAGGACCAGGATCAGATTTTTTGTATGATTATTTGCTGTCGTTGTCTTTTCTTTTTCTTGTTTCTTTTTGTTCTCGTTTATTTAGACTGTCGTTTATTGGACATCGGACTGTAGATTTGTGACCCATTTAGAGACCTTTTTTATATCCAAGTTGGGGGTTCGGCCTTAACCCCCACCCTCTCGGGGGCGTTGTTATCTTAAAAAAAAAAAAGTAGAAATAATTTTATCACTTAAGCATATTCATGAAAATTATTCTTGTCCGTGTTCAGAATGTGTTGAGTTAGCTAACAAATTACGTGAGGTGCTATTTGCATCCGTGTTAGTATCGTGTTTTTCAACTTGTTTCCACAGTACGTGACATATATTTTTTATTTTATTTATTATTTTTGGATGGAATAAAAAATGTTAATCCTATTTTCAAGCATGGGGATTTTCCCATATATTGTGGGCAAAACATTACATGCAAACCACAATTCACCATTTTTTTTTCTTTTCATTTGATTTTTTTCTTTTCTTTCGATCCAAGCAGCCCTCTTCCTCTCTGTTTCTGAACAGAGGAATTACAGAAGACGACGATATCTTTTTCGAAGGCACCCGATTTGTTTGATTTTTAAAATTTCATCTTTGCTGAGGAATAATGGAAAATAATCTTGTACCTTTGGCTTCCCCAAGGTAATTTCATTACATAATTAATGTGTTAATCACGTCGGTTTCTCGTTTTCGTTTTCGATTTTCGTTTGCATGCAGGATATGTGAGAATGCAAGCGACATTGCAGATGAAAAATAGATAAATGTTACACCCAAAATTGCTAACACAAAAAATTTCCTATTGTAAACCTCAGGCAAAGTGAGAATACAAGCGACATTGCAGACGAAAGCTCGGAAGGACAGTTTTTCGTAGTCGGGAAGAAGCTCCTCTTCTCCACGTCTTCCATTTCAATCTCCCCTGAAGGTTGGTCCTGTTTTCTTTTCATGCACACACGTACTTTACGTACGTTCACGATTTCCTAATAATAATAATAAAAAAAATGCGGCGATTTTAGATCTAACGTCCTTGGACGTGGAGGTGACGGCTGTGGAGGAAGCTAAGACGGTGATGATGAATGAGAAAGAGGGCGAGTCGGACTCGCAGTGGAAAGGGTTCCTTAAGAAGCTTAAGAAGGGCCCGGGGGCCCACTTCCACCCGACCATACCCCACTTGCTGTCGATAAGGAAACTTTCGAGGAAAAGAACCACACGCAATACACAGAGCCTCCCGGCCCTGCCACCTCACATCGAGGCCGACCTATATTATTGCTTCGAGACCTCATGGAAGAACTTCATGCTCTCTGATCTCGAGGAGGCTACCCAAAACTTTAGCCATGGTAACATTTTTTGTTTATTAATTTTTTCGGTTTTCAAATAATCAAATTACTTGGCGTAACTTTATTAAAACGTTGAATTTTTTTATGCCCAGAAAATCTGATAGGCGAGGGGGGCTATTCTGAAGTGTACAAGGGCCATCTGGAAGACGGGCAGCTGATAGCCGTCAAACGGCTAATTAGAGGAACTCCTGAGGAGATGACGGCCGATTACCTATCAGAGCTCGGGATTTTGGTGCACGTCAACCATCCTAACATAGCTGGAATCATTGGCTATGGAGTCGAAGGCGGGATGCATTTAGTCCTTCCTCTCTCCCCCAACGGGAGCCTATCGTCATTGCTAAAAGGTTGTACATATTAACTGATCTATATATATATTTAAAGACTTGTTCATGTCTTGAATATTCATCTAATTTTCCTATGATGATGCTCAGGTAAGAGGGAAAAACTGATATGGAGGCTAAGGTACAATATTGCCCTGGGCATTGCCTCCGGCCTATCGTACCTTCACGAGGGCTGCCAGCGGAGGATCATTCACCGGGATATCAAGTCTGCTAATATTTTGCTCACCGAAGATTTCGAGCCTCAGGTATTTTATGAATGAGAATTATTCTGTTAAAAAGAAAAAGAAATGATCGATGATCTATTTTTTCGGATTTTTAGATACAATTTGAGTTTAGACAACGGCAGTTTATATTTTATACATAAGTGAAATATTGGTTAGTGCAGATTTCGGATTTTGGGCTTGCGAAATGGCTTCCTGATCAGTGGACTCACCTTAATGTTTCGCAGTTTGAAGGCACATTCGGGTGCGTGGCCTCGATATTTTAACAGAACATACATACTCCAAAAATCTCCATTGTCATTATACGAATTTTATCCTTAACAAACTTTTATTACAACCACTTGTAGATATCTTCCTCCCGAGTTTTTCATGAATGGCACGGTGGACGAGAAGACTGATGTCTACGCGTTCGGAGTGTTGTTGTTGGAGCTCATTAGTGGCCGTCCGGCAATAGACGAGTCGCATAATAGTGTCGTGATGTGGGTAAGTGAAGTGTCGTGATGAGGCTAAGAACTCATGTGATGAACTTCTCGTGTGCTGAATTTTGGTCGGGTGATTTGCAGGCCAAACCTCTGTTAGCCAGCAAGAATATTACAGATATAGTTGATCCATTGCTCGATGGAATTTACGACTTGGATCAGGTGAATCGTATGGTCACGGTTGCTTCCTCGTGTATTACTCCAAGTTCGACAGATAGGCCTCAAATGAGTCAGGTACATATACTGTTTCATCAAAATGTGTCCTATTAACTCATTGCTTTCTAATCCATAATTATCTGCTCATACTTATGAATCCACTTTAAATAATCACGTGGTTCAGTTTCGACCGAGCAATCTTTTGAAGTTACGAAAGTTGCTGCCATATTTGTAATTATGCCCTCAAGAGGTTTAGAATTAGGGGGTCATTCGTAATTTCGAAAAAATAGCTCGTGCATGCTGTGTTGTAACGTTACAATGATGGTTTGTCGTTGCAGGTTTTGTTGATGTTAAAAGGAGACGATAGCGTGTCTCAGAACAAGAAGAAGTTCCAAAAAAGGCCGGGACTCAGAAGGACGTACCCTTTGGAGTTGATCGACGAAGAAGAATGCAACTCAAACAAATCTCCATTACACGATAGAAACCACAAAATCAACAATATCGCGTTCGATCAAGATAGCCGTTGTCAAAACGGTGGGGACGATCCTTACTTGCAAAACACGGCATGATTTAAAAAAATTACAATAAAAAGGGAAAAGAAAGGGGGGCGAGCATTGGAATGTACAGCCATCCTCCAAAATGCTTAGAAATTCTTGCAGATTTTTTTAATTTTTAATTTTTTTGTTTTTGTTTTTGTTTTTGTTTTTATGTTCCCCTCCTTTATTCAAGTTTTACAAATTCTGATGAATTAGTTGATTCGGTTAGAGTTTTCTAACGGTTAGCTCTGGCTACAGTGAAAATGATTGTTTTGTTGCTGTACTAATGAGCTATCAAGTCTTGTACATACACAAGTACCAAGGTTGATAAACAAGCAATGTATACCATTTCTTTATTNNNTTTTTTTTTTTTTTTTTTCCGAATTTCTTTTGTTGGGAAAAATACGCTGAAATTTCCATGAAGTCAAATCTATAAAAGTGAAATAAAAATAAAAATTGGACACACCAAATTGATAACGGAGTTCGGCCAATATTGTCTACGTCTCCGGACTACTGCAGATATTTTATTAGGAGAAAAGAAAAACACTCGTGTTTATAATACACTCGCAAACTCACTCACAACTCACAACACAAATACACACAGAAGCTAAAACTTTCGCTTCTTGTTCTCTTTTTTTTTCTCTCTTTCTCTCTGTATTTTTGTTGGGTTGATCTGCTGAATATCCCCTCTATTTATAGAGGGGAAAGTGCACCGTGTTTTCCACAAAAGCCTGCTGAACATTATTCTCCAAATGTGTGCTGCTACTTTTTTGTTCATTTTGCTGCTTTCAAAACATGTGGGCTGCAGATTTTTTTTTTTCTTTTGTTGTTTTCAAAACAAATGGGCACAAGCTTTTTTTTTTTTGACTTCACAATCTCCCACTTGAGGAGTGATTTCAATCTGTCCTCACACCTCAATTACTGCAGTAGTCTTCTCTGGTCTGTTATTCTAGCAAGCCAACTGAAGTTGAGCACAACTTTAGTTTGTCAATGGTCACCACCTTCGTTAGCATATTTGTTGGGTTCTTGCTTCCTACAATCTTCTTCAATATCAACACTTCATCCTCAAGAATATATCTGATGAAATGATATCGTATGTCAATGTGCTTAGTTCTGGAATGAAACACTTAGTTCTTTGCCAGATGTATTGCACTCTGACTGTCACTATGCAAGACACTCTCCTTTTGAGTGAAACCCAACTCTGCTAACAATCTTTGAAGTCATGTCAATTCTCTACTGGCTTCTGCCACTGCTACATACTCAGCCTCTGTAGTGGATAGAGCAACAATCTTTTATATCTGCGACATCCAACTAACAGTTGTAGCCCCGACAGTGAAAACATAACCGGTGGTGCTTCTCCGATGATCAACTTCACCTCCGAAGTCTGCATCTACGTAGCCCTGTAACTTTAGATCTTCTTTTCTAAAGTACATACATTTTTCTATTGTGCCCCGTAGATATCTCAAAATCCATTTGACTGCTTCCCAATGAGCCTTTCCTGGATTTGACATAAACCTGCTCACAACTCCCACTGCATGACCAATGTCTAGCCTCGTATAGACCATTGCGTACATCAAACTTTCAATGGCTAAAGCATAAGGAATCGTAGCCATGAACTCTTCTTCTTCTTCCTTTGTTTGAGGAGACTGATCCTTGGATAAACGAAAATGGTTGGCCAAAGGTGTACTGACTGGTTTGGCCTTGTCCATGTTAAATCTCTGCAACACGGTTGATGTACTCTGCCTGAGATAACTGCAAAACTCCCTTTTGCTTATCTCTCGTGATTTGCATTCCAAGAATCTTCTTTGCTGGGTCTAAGTCCTTCATGTCAAATTCATTTGACAACTGCATCTTCAAATTTCTGATGTCTTTCATATTTGATCCCGCTACTAACATATCATTGACATAAAGTAGCAATATGATATAGCTGGGCTCATATTTCTTGAAGAAACAACAGTGATCAGCATTGCACTTCTGGAATCCTTCTTTATGCATGAAGCTCTCAAACTTCTTATACCACTGTCGTGGAGCTTGTTTCAGGCCGTACAAGCTTTCCTTCAATCTGCACACCATATCCTTCTTTCCTTCTGAAAAACCTTCAGGCTGGTGCATATAGATCTCTTCATCTAGGTCTCCGTGAAGAAATATAGTCTTCACGTCTAATTGCTCTAGGTAGAGCTCTTCACTAACCACAATACTTAACACAGTTCTGATAGTATTGAGCTTTACAACTGGAGCAAAGATTTCAGTGTAGTCAACTCTTTCTTTCTGCTGAAATCCTTTGACAACCAGTCGAGCTTTGTATCTCCTGGAACTATCATGGTCTTCCTTCACTCGATACACCCATTTGTTGTGAAGTGCTTTCTTTCCCATGGGTAACTTGACTAGTTCCCATGCCTGACTTGAGATCAAGGACTTCATCTCGTCCTTCATGGCAAGCTCCCACTTGTTAGCATCTGGGGTTTGACAAGCCTCCTTATAATCTTCAGGTTCTCCTCTATCGATCAACAACATGTAGTCCATGTATCTCATATTAGGCACATGGGGCCGAGAGGACCTTCTCAATACAAGAGTTAGAGTAGAAGATTCTGATTGCACTTCACTTTCTTCATTTGATTCCTCTGACTGAGGACTCCTCATTATAGAACTATCTGGGATATCTTCCACCTCTTCATAAACTGGCCCACTCGCTTCTGAGTTGCTGGCGCTTGTGTTATGCCGGTCCTTGTCACTCTTTCATTAAAGATCACATCTCTGCTGCGGATCATCATTTTATTTTCACCATCCCATAAGCGGTAGCCAAACTTATCTTCACCATAACCAAGAAAAGTACATTTCTTTGATTTTGGATCAAGTTTGTTTCTACCTTGATCACTGATGTGCACATATACTACACACCCGAAAACTCTAAGATGCAAGAGTTTTACTTCTTTTCCGCTCCATACCTCTTCTGGTAACTTGTGATCCAACAGTACCGATGGACTTCGGTTGATCAAGTAAGTTGTTGTGTTGACTGCTTCTGCCCAGAACTGCTTTGGTAGGCCTGACTGCACACGCAAGCTTCTGGCTCTTTCAGTCAACGTTCGATTCATATGCTCAGCTACACCATTGTGTTGAGGCGTACCAGGCACGGTTCTCTCCATTATGATCCCGTGCTCATAGCAAAACTTCTTGAATCTGGTGGTTACGTATTCACCACCATTGTCGGATCTGAGCTTCTTGATCTTTAAGCCTGTCTCATTCTCCACCATAGCTTTCCAAATCTTGAAAGCTTCAAATACTTCTGACTTGTGTTTCAGAAAGTTAACCCATACCTTTCTGGAGTGATCATCGATAAAAGTCACGAAGTATTGCTTCCCACCAACGGATGGGACAGTGGTTGGACCCCAAACATCTGAGTGGATGAGCTCAAGCTTCTCCTTCTTTGGGGTTCTTCTACTTGTCTGAAAACTAACTCTCTTCTGCTTTCCAAGTATACATCCTTCACACATGTCAATTTCTATTGACTGGAGGCCTGATAATTTTCCTTTTGAGTAAATGATCGTCATCCCTTTTTCGCTCATATGCCCAAGTCTTTGGTGCCATAGATTGGGACTTTCATTTGTTGCAACTGCAATCACATGACATGCTCCTTTGGTCTTGTAAAGAGTACCACTCTTTTTGTCTCGAGCAATTATCATCGCACCCTTTGAAATCTTTCAATCATCACCATGGAAGATTGTCGTGTAGCCTTCACTGGCTAGCTGGCATACAGAGATTAAATTCTTCGTCAGGTCGGGAATATGTCTGACATTTTTCAATTCCCAAACAGACCCGTTCAACTTGATTTTTACTGCACCTTTGTCGAAAACCTCACATGATTGCTCATTACCAAGGTAAACTTTACCAAGATTTCCAGGAACATAATTCTCGAATAGTTCCTTTTGTGATGTAGCATGAAAGGATGCTCCAGAGTCTAACACCCAAGACTCTTCTCTGTTCACCAAAGAACATATCAGCGAATCTCCTCCAGAGGTTGAAGCAACATTTGCCTCTTCTTATGTCTCCTGACCCTTCGGCGCACTCTTGCACTGATTTCTGTAGTGCCCGGTCTTCCCACAATTCCAGCACGCGACTTCGAGTTTTGGGACCTACGATGATTTCTGGACCTGGATCTTCTTCCCTTTGATTTGATATGTCTGCTTTCTTTGGTTGAACTTCTTCCTCTCGACTCTGTATGCAATACAGAAGAGGTTGATGGTTCACCCGACTCTCTTTGCCGGATCTCTTCACTGAGAACCAAATTTTGGACATCATCAAATCTCAACTTATTGCTTCACGATGAGCTACTCACAGCTGTGACTGTAACATTCCAGCTTTTTGGTAGGGAAGACAAAAGTATTAAAGCCCGTACTTCATCATCGAACTCGATCTCAACTGAACTCAACTGGGTTGTAACTGTGTTGAGTTCATTGAGATGATTTGCCACCGGAGTACCTTCGCTCATCCGCAGGTTGAACAATCGCCTCATCAAATGGACTTTATTTGAGGCTGATGGTTTCTCGTACATGTTGGAAAGAGCCTTCATGAGGCCTGCCGTCGTCTTTTCTTTTGCAATGTTAAAAGCAATATTACGGGACAACGTCAGCCGAATGGCTCCAAGGGCTTGTCTGTCAAGGAGACTCCATTCTTCCTCCCTCATGTCCTCTGGCTTCTTTCCCGTGAGTGGTTGATACATATTCTTCTGGTACAGATCTGCATCTTCCAGAAACCAAAGTCCGAACCATCGAACTTTTTAATTTTCATTTTTTTTTCGTCTGCAACCATCACTTTGACTCTGATCTGACGACTTCTCTGCCGGATCGTTTCTGTAAATTTTGTGAACTACCGTGTTTAAGAACACGTCGGTAGATAAATTTGTAGCGCCGACAAATTTGACACTATTCACGTTTTTCACTATTCACAGAATAGTAACCCACACAAAAATTACAGAATTAACTATTTGGCTCTGATACCATTTGATGGGAAAAATACGCTGAAATTTCCATGAAGTC